CCCCTGAGCTCAGGGCCCTGGGCTCTCGCCCCACTGTCCCCTCAGCATCACCACCCCCAGGTGCAGAGGTCTGAAGTGATGGGTGGCCCATCCTCATTCAGACCAGAGGCAAAGAAACCACTTGTTTCATATGCTTCTCAGAGGTTATGTTGTCTCAAGTTGACTCAAATTTTTGGTGATCCGATGAAGGAAAGCCCTCCAAAATGTACTGTCCGTGACAGCCCCCCTCAGCGTCTCCCAGGTCAGGCCTGTGGCTTCCTTTTGGATTCATTTCACCATGTATTTGGTCTTCCCCTTCAGGGTTTGCCTTTGGTTCTCCTAACATGCTTATCTTCTCCAGTTTCCCTAAGAGGAGCACCTGGTTACATCCTGTACTTAACGGTCCGGGGGAGGGGAGGGGGCAGTGCTTTAGATGAGCAGACATATGACATCAATTATGGACCACACAGCAAACTTGTATTTTCTCCCCCTGCACCTCCATTCCTTTTATATGTTGCTTTTATATCCCTGAGAGGTTAAAACTGTACAAATTGTTTGCCCACCCAGGTTTTAAAAGGAAAGAAAAAAATACTTCAAGCACATGCCATTTCATATTTTAAGCTCACTTAAATAATAGCACCACCAAGACTGCAGGAATAAAATGAAGTTTGCTTCTCCTGTCCTTCTGGAAATAAGCACCACTTTGTGTAGCAAAATGTGTGTGTGTTTAAATGTTAAAATACTAAAATGAGCATCTGCATCCATGTATGATGCTGGGCTGCTAAAGCCAACTAGAAAATATATATTTTAAAATCTATATAAAAAGACGTATAAAATTAATCAAATGGAAGAATTCATTGCAGGGTTTTTTATAAAAAATGTGGGAAAAGAAAATATGGCATGACAGTTATGCATTTATCCAACCCAAAATAATAGAATATAAAGAATTCAAATTTCATTGAATGAAATACAATGAAGTCACATTTTTGTTAGGTTTATTGCTGTCCAGCAGAAAAGTTAACATGTATCTATTACACCTTTTTTTAATATAAAGGAAAGAAAAATTCCATGGGAATTATAGACATTACTTCTATTCCCACCATACATCTTCTCGTTTCAGCAGTTCTCTTCCATACAGACTGAATACATACAATAGCTGATAAATCTTTGATAGTCATAAGTGTGCTCCACATATCTTTCAATACCAAATAATAAATGGTTATAAATATTGAACAAATACATTCCATAAATACTTTAACATAAATATGTGCAGTGCATTTTTTTCAGTTTGCTTTCATTCCAGAATGTCCAGATTTTGTCTGTGGCAGGACAGTCAGAAGTCAGTCTCTGCGGACTTTCGCAGGTGCGCCGTTGTTGTCAGCAGCGTGGGTCAGTGTTCCAAAGAGCCAGTCCCAGTGTGTAAAGTAAGGCGCGTAGTTGAACTTGAACTTCTGGTGGTGGAGGTCATGGTGTGGAGCTCCTCCATACAGACCAAAAGGCACCAGTCTGTGGGTTGACCACGGCAGATCGTAGCCAGAATGATCCTCCACCGACAACCAGATATTGGCAACGAAGAAAGTCATTTCGGTCAACGGGTGGAATTTCAGCATCATCGGAATGATGGCCGTGAAAAGGCCCAGCCACAGCAGCTCCCAAGTGCTGGAGTACTGGGTGGTGAGAGCAAACGTGGAGGTGTGCTTGTGGTGGACCTTATGGAAGGTCTTGTACAGCCAAGGCACCCTGTGATGGAGCAAATGCCACAGGAAGTACAGGAAGTCGAAGAGCAGCAGGGCCACGATCACGCTCAGCAGGAGGCTCGGCAGTTCAGGGGCCGCCCGCGGCAAGCTCACTCGCCTCCAGTACCAGTGCGCTGTGGTCACCGGGAAGATGCAGACGACGTGATGGTAGAGGCTCTGGGCCACGCACAGCGCCATCATGCGCAGCGTCGGCGAGCTCTGCGGCTGGAGCTTGTACTTTCGGAAGGCTGGCACGCGGGTGCCGAAGAAGTCCAGGGCCACGAAGGGCAGGCAGAAAGCCGTGTAGGCCGCGAAGCTGAACAGGGCCGGGAAGAAGGGCGACCTGAACAAGGGCTCCTGCATGCGGGCGAAGTCCCAGAGAGGCTGCAGCGCCAGCGCGCCGCGCCTGTCATGCAGCCCGCCGCCGCCGCCGAGCAGCGCGCTGGCGTTGTCCGCCGGGCAGCCCATGCTCGCCGCCGTCCGTGCTGCTGCTGCCGCGCGTGAGCCGCTTTTATTCCTCCGAGTGACATCACAGGCCAAAACCTTCCATCACAGGGTCCGTTTCTTCCCTGCCAAGAAGGAATTCCCCTTGTTCCAGGATTACCATTGGCCGGACTGCTCTCAGCCTTGCCCTCAGGTTGGATTTCCGAGTGGGCGGGAAGACTGGGCAGGAACGCTTTCCGATGCAAATGCAGAGGAAAGGAACGGCGAAGAGCGCTTCACCGCAGCCTGCTAAACGAACCCTTCCCGCGCTCTGCTTCGGAAATCGGGGGAGAGCGGGCGGAGGAGAGAACTGCAGGCTAGACTCGCACAAAGTATGAATTTTCCTTTGGAAGTCAGTGGTGCAGCTGGTGCTGGACCAAAGTTCAGGGGTACGTAGCCTCCGCGGGGAACGAATGACCACCCAAAAAGCTGCAGGGGAGAGGGCAGCAGAAGCAATCTCTGCTTTTACTTTGGAGGTCATGTTGCTGCTATAATTTAAGGGATTCGAAAATGCAAAACTGCACGCTATAAGTATATTGCTCTTTTAAAATCAGGATTGGCAAACAGTGCTGTTTTCGGCCCAGGGTTCGTTCTAAGTTATCGGGATTGTTCACTGTAAAGCCTGAACTGGCAATTGCGGTGGAAAAGAAAATATTAGCTGTGCGTTTCACAACTGAAATAAGCACAGGAGTAACGTTTTTCCTCCCCCGCCACAACTGTCAGGCCATGCTTTGCAACTAAAACGATCACGCTGTACCACGGCTTAAAGTCCCAAGATTTTAAGAACAATATCTTAAGAAGTAGTCTTCTGGTTTCTGAACTTTCAGCAATGGTGAAGGGCACAGGAAGGCATACAGTGTGTAAAATGTTTATGAATCTGGAAGCAGAGGAAAAATAAATCTACAACCAGATGTTCTCATAAACCATGATGCCAGCTGAATGCTACATAGATGGAGTGCAGCTTCAAGTTGTATTTTTCATTCTTTAAAAAAATTAGACACTTAAGGGGCTCCAAAGGTCTGATGCAGGAAATGGTAAGCATTCAGAGGGTGGAGGCAGGGCACGAATATTCCTGATCCCATCCGCAGTTTTCCAGATTGTTGAAGCAAGCTAAAGCATGGCAGTCAGGAGCTGTTGTTGTTGTTGTTGTTATAACATTTCTATGCCGCCCCTTGCCGAAGCCTCGGGGCGGCTTACAACACAATAAAATACATTGAAATACAATAGCACATAATAAATTACCATTAAATACAAAAATACAAAAAATACATTGAGTTACAAACATAATAATATAAAATTAAAATTATCAGTATAAAATAAGTAAATACATAATATAGGAGGAGAAAAGAGAAGGAAGAAGAAGTTGCCCTGGCCAGATCATATATTTTAACAATTAAAATTATGTTTAAATAA